TAGATTCAAGTGGGTTATGAACTCCCATTTTTACCCCAAATACAGATTGCAGAATCACATCGGTTACACATCCACATTTTTACCTAATGCCATATTAGTAATTGTTGTATTCTGCTACCTTTCCTATCCTCTACTATCCCCCCTTGAAGGTCAAATTCATACTGTCGCTTTAGCCTCTGGCCTTGGGCAGGTCACCCTGGACAGCTGGATGAGCCCCATGCCTGAGAAAAGAACTGGAGGGTAGAGAATGGACTCTAGTTAAGTAGAGTGGAAATAAGGGGAGAGGATGGTTTTATATCCCCTCCTAAATTCCCTTTTCCTTTGCTTTTCACGCTTTTTGGCTCTTCGAGTGCCTGCCATGAGAAGAGCCCGGGCTTCCCCTGCAATAGAATGCTCCTTCTCAGTGAGTAGGTACTTTCCTGGAAGGACTGGTGAGCATCCGACAGGTACGGCCACATGGGGCACGGGTTTGCTTACCTGTAGACACCAGGCTGCCCACTGACAGCAGCACTGACAAGTAGTAGAGTTCAGGGGTTGTTTTTTCCTGTATTTGAGAAGAGAAGGGCACTGTGAGGAATATTTTGTCTTTAAATCAGAACACTATTAAAAATAAGACACTGGGGTGTAGCTCAATGATAGAGCACCGTGGGTTTGATCCCCGGTACCATGAAAAAAGAAAAAAAGAAAGAACATTTTTTAAAAATCGCTTGTAGAATTTTTCTTTTTCTTTTTTTGGTGGTGGTGGTGGATGCTGGGGATGGAACCCAGGGCCTTGTGCATGCTAAGCCTGCTCTGTACCACTGAGCTACACCCTCAGCCTCTTATMGAATGTTTTTAACCTCCCCAGAAAAATGTTTTAACTGTGACGTGACTAATTAGGAATTCCATTTCTACATATCTTGATTTTTGTTGTAAATAGAAAATAAATATTGAAGACTAATGGCATATTGTTTATAGCCAAACTTTCAGATTAGGATGAGCCTTTAGAGAGTATTTAAAAACGTACACAGTCTGATGCCAAAATTGTTAACACCATGGTGCAGACTCCTTCACTGAAGGATCCTGCACCAAATACACAAAGCATCCTCTTCAGTGCTCGTGGGACTGGTTCCATCTGCAGAAGCAGCACAGTAAGACCTAAAAGGGAGGGGACAGCATTGGCTTACCAGGTTAATCACCTCAGAATCATATTATTGAGTGCACATCTAAATATAATTTGCAGTTGACATTTTTGTTGTCGTTGATGTGGTTGTGGTTGTGGTACTAGGGATGAAACCCAGGATCTCATGAAAGCGCTTAGCAAGCGTTTTTCCAAAGAGCCACTTCCCCAACCCAAATCTAAATTGCTTTCCTACTTTGCTCCTATGGAACAGAAATGCACAAAATCTAGCTAGACTAAGGTTTTCCTTTGATATGTGCAATGCTAATAATAATAACTGGCTTTGGTTTATTTTATTTTAAGTGATTCTTCTCAATTAAACTTTATATCAAAACTATGGTGCAAGTATTTCTATCACCGGTTTATAAATAATCAAAGGGAGTCTCAAAGAGATTTAAGTAACTCATCATTGATTATAGAGTGAATATTTGGACTGACCTCTAAAACTCTTCCCCATTATACTATACTGCCTCTTGTGGAGTTGTAAAAGACTCTCTTCTAGGTCTACAACAATAAATACTTTATTTTTAAAAAATTCAACATAGAATTTCAGTGCTGGGGATGGAACTCAGGGCTCTGCATATGCTGAGCACTTATGCTGAGCACTCATGCTACCAGTGAGATACACCCTCAGCTCCTCCGCTGTTCATTACTCTTATATGTTTCCACAAAGGAAAGTATGGTGAAATCTATGGATTACAATATTCCTAAAACTTCACATTTCAGCGATACACTCTTCATGTTTTTGTTTTGTTATGCTGGGAATAAAACCCAGGACCTTGAGTAGGCGAGGCAAGAACTCTACCACTGAGTTATAGCCTCAGCCATTCAGTGATGCTTTTTTGCTTCAAGTTGTCAATGACCCTATTTCCCCTAACCAGTATAATCTCTTTCTTTCTTTTTT